CTGCTCGTCATATGGGGAGATGAATCAGTGCTAGCTGAACTCCGAAGCAATAAACGAAATGGCAAAATATTAGAAAAGGTCTCCAAGGCCATGAAGGACAGAGGCCATAACAGGGCCGCGTGAAAAATCACAGCAGTGCCGCGTGAAAATTAAGGAGCTACGGCAAGCCTACCACAAAGCCAGAGAAGCAAACGGAAGGTCCGGGGCAGAGCCGCCACTTCTACGCGGAGCTGCATGCCATTCTAGGGGGTGCAGCCACCACTACCCCAACCGTGTGCTATGACTCCCTCACTGGAGAAACACACAGGGAAGCGGGTTCGGGGTACGAGGAAGATGAGGATGGAGATAATGTAGATAGCTCACAGCAGCAAGGAAGCGGAGAAACCGGTTTCCCCAACAGCCAGGATATGTTTATCACCCTGGACCTGGAACCAGTAACCCCCGAACTCCCCCAAGGCGTGCTCCCAGACCCTGAGGGCACACAGGGGACCTCTGGTGAGTGTACCTTTGTAAATATGACACATGGTTTAAAAGCAAGCGTGTTTAATGATTAATTTGCCCTGGCAATCGCGGCCAGTACAGCTACTGGAAAAGTCTGTTAACGTGTATGGGGATGGAGCGGAAATCCTCCAGGGACATCTCCAGAAAACTCTCCTGGATGTACTCCCAAAGCCTTTGCAAAAGGTTTCTGGGGAGGGCTGCCTTATCCCGTCCGCCATGGTAGGACACTTTACCACGCCAGGCCAGTAGCACGTAGTCTGGAATCATTCCATAACAAAGCATGGCAGCGTATGGTCCCGGTGTTTGCTGGCATGCAGACAACATCCATTCCTTATCGCTCTTTGTTATCAGGAGAGTGATATCATTCACGGTCACCTGGTTGAAATGGGGCGATTTTATTAAGGGGATATTCAGAGGTGCCCGTTCCTGCTCTGCTGAACAGAAATATTCCCCGCTGTTAGCCACGCAGTGGGGGGGAGTGGTGAAGTGATCATCCCAGAGAATTGGGTGTGGGGGGGAGGGGAGTTAGTTGGGTTTGTGCTGCATGTTAACCCTGAAACCGCAGCCCCTCCTTTTACATTGCAAACCCATTTCAAATGGCCAACCCAACGGGTGCTTGGTATGGGAAATGAGAGTGCTACTGTTTGAAACCATTCCCACATGTTAAGAAGGTTAAAAAAGCCAAAAGACTGTGTCTTACCATGGCTGCCTCCAAGATGAAATCTGTGGCCTGGCACTGCGTGAGTGATCTCTCAAACCAAACCGGCAGGCCCTCAATATAAGAGGAAAAATGCGACCTTGTAACGAAAGCACATGTGCTGTGTAATGTGAACAGCAAAATTTAACGTGAAAGAGTGTACCCATTGTTCTCTAAAATGTGTCTTTTTTAACCACCTCTCCTGTCTCCTCCACCAGCTGCAAATGTTTCTCCTTCACAGAGGCTAGTGAAGATTAGAAAGAGAAAAAGGAGGACGCGGGATGACATGTTCACAGAGCTCCAGATGTCCTCCCACGCTGACAGAGCACAGCAGAATGCGTGGAGGCAGTCAATGACTGATTACAGAAAAGCACAATATGAACGAGAGGAGAGGTGGCGTGCTGAATCGCGGGATGAACAGAGCAAGTTGCGGGCTGAAGATGATAGGTGGCGTCAGCTTGCAGACAGAAGGCAAGAGTCGATGCTCCGGCTGCTGGAGCATCAAACTGATATGCTCCAGCGTATGGTTGAGCTGCAGGAAAGGCAGCAGGAGCAGAGACCGCCGCTACAGCCCCTGTGTAACCAACAGCCCTCCTCCCCAAGTTCCATAGCCCTCTCACCCAGACGCCCAAGAACACGGTGGGGGGGCCTCCGGCCACCCAGTCACTCCACCCCAGATGATTGCCCTAGCATCAGAAGGCTGGCCTTCAATAAGAGTTAAAGTTTTAAACTGCAGTGTGTCCTTTTCCTTCCCTCCTCTCCCACCCATCCTGGGCTACCTTGGCAATTATCCCCCTAGTTGTATGATGAATTAATAAAGAATGCACGAATGTGAAGTAAAAATGACTTTATTGCCTCTGCAAGTGGTGCTCGAAGGGGGGAGGGGAGGGGAGGGTGGGGTGGTTGGTTTACAGGGAAGTAGAGTGAACCGGGTGGGGGGGGGGCGGAGGGTTCATCAAGGAGAAACAAACAGAAGTTTCACACCGTAGCCTGGCCACTCACAAAACTTGTTTTCAAAGCTTCTCTGATGCGCACCACGCCCTGCTGTGCTCCTCTAACCGCCCTGGTGTCTGGCTGCGCGTAATCAGCGGCCAGGCGATTTGCCTCAACCTCCCACCCCGCCATAAATGTCTCCCCCTTACTCTCACAGATATTGTGGAGTGCACAGCAAGCAGCAATAACAATGGGGATATTCTTTTCGCTAAGGTCTAAGCGAGTCAGTAAGCTGCGCCAGCGCGCTTTTAAACGTCCAAATGCACATTCCACCACCATTCGGCACTTGCTCAGCCTGTAGTTGAACGGGTCCTGACTCCTGTCCAGGCTGCCTGTGTACGGCTTCATGAGCCATGGCATTAAGGGGTAGGCTGGGTCCCCAAGGATCACGATAGGCATTTCAACATCCCCAACAGTTATTTTCTGGTCCGGGAAGAAAGTCCCTTCCTCCAGCTTTCGAAACAGAGCAGAGTGCCTGAAGACACGAGCATCATGTACCTTTCCCGGCCATCCCACGTTGATGTTGGTGAAACGTCCCTTGTGATCCACCGGGGCTTGCAGCAGCATTGAAAAGTACCCCTTGCGGTTTATGTACTCGGTGGCTTGGTGCTCTGGTGCCAAGATAGGGATATGGGTTCCGTCTATCGCCCCACCACAGTTTGGGAATCCCATTGCAGCAAAGCCATCCACTATGGCCTGCACGTTTCCCAGAGTCACTACCCTTGATATCACCAGGTCTTTCATTGCCCTGGCAACTTGGATCACAGCAGCCCCCACAGTAGATTTGCCCACTCCAAATTGATTCCCGACTGACCGGTAGCTGTCTGGCATTGCAAGCTTCCACAGGGCTATCGCCACTCGCTTCTCAACTGTGAGGGCTGCTCTCATCCTGGTATTCTGGCGCTTCAGGGCAGGGGAAAGCAAGTCACAAAGTTCCATGAAAGTGCCCTTACGCATGCGAAAGTTTCGCAGCCACTGGGAATCGTCCCACACCTGCAGCACGATGCGGTCCCACCAGTCTGTGCTTGTTTCCCGGGCCCAGAATCGGCGTTCCACGGCATGAACGTGCCCCAAGAACACCATGATTTCCACATTGCTGGGGCCTGTGCCTTGTGAGAGGTCTATGTCCATGTCAATTTCCTCATCACTCTCGTCGCCGCGCTGCAATCGCCTCCTTGGCTGGTCCTGGTTTTGCTTTGACATGTCCTGGCTCTGCATATACTCCAGGACAATGCGCGTGGTGTTCATAGTGCTCATAATTGCCGCGGTGATCTGAGCGGGCTCCATGATCCCAGTGCTAGCTATGGCGCCTGGTCTGAAAAAAGGCGCGAAACTAGTATCTAACGGACCAGGGGAAGGAGGGAGGGAGGGGCGAGTGACGACATGGCGTACAGGTACAGGGAATTAAAATCAACAAAGGTGGCTGTGCATCAGGGAGAAACACAAACAACTGTCACACAGAATGCCCCCCCCCAAAGATTGAACTCAAAACCCTGGGTTTAGCAGGCCGTTGATTTCACGGCGGGAGGGGGAAGCTAATGAATACAGAACAAATCTATTTTTTACATCTTAAGACGACGGTGCAGCATGACTGATAGCCCTCGGCATCTTCTGGGTGCTTGGCAGAAAATACTGGGCGCTTGGCAGTTAGTGTACTAAGACTGATAGCCACTGCAGTATGACGACGATGGATACCAGTAGTAATATACTATCTACTGCCAAAAGGCAAGGGGCTGCTGCTGTGTAGCAATGTAGCCCCACGTCTGCCAACCCCACGTCTGCCAGCACCCAGATCGCCCTTGGCCTCTTCTGGGTGCTTAGCAGAAAATACTGGGCGCTTGGCAGAAAATAGCATACTACGACTGATAGCCATCATTGTCAAGACAGTTCAATAGGACTGAGCATGTCTGCCCAGGTGCCCATGATTGACAGCCACTGCAGTACGATGACGACGGATACCAGTCGTAATAAACCATCTACTGCCAAAAGGCAAAAGGCAAGGGCTGGTGCAATGCAGCCCTACGGCTGCCAGCCCCACGGCTGCCAGCACCCAGATCGCCGATGAAGGCTACCAGTCATGCTGCACCGTCTACCGCCAAAAGGCAGTTAGCTGCTGCTGCTGTGTAGCAATGCAGTCCCACGTCTGCCGGCACCCAGATGACATATGGTGACGGTGAGCTGAGCTGAGCGGGCTCCATGCTTGCCGTGGTATGTTGTCTGCACAGGTAACCCAGGTAAAAAGGCGCGAATCTATTGTCTGCCGTTGCTCTGACGGAGGGGGAGGGGCCTGATGACATGTACGCAGAACCCCCACGACACTATTTTGCATCATTCGGGCATTGGGATCTCAACCCAGAATTCCAATGGGCGGCGGAGACTGCGGGAACTGTGGGATAGCTACCCATAGTGCAATGCTCCAGAAGTCGACGCTAGCCTCGGTACTGTGGACGCGGTCCGCCGACTAGAGCACTTAGAGCATTTTATGTGGGGACACACACAATCAGCTGTATACAACCGATTTCTATAAAACCAGCTTCTATAAATTCGACCTAATTTCGTAGTGTAGACATACCCTAACATGACATCCCTTAAAGTAGCCTGAATTTTCAGAAAGTGATAAAAACGCCCACCATCTGAAAATCAGGCTCTTTCAGGGTCCCTTGGTTCAGCACCCAAAAAACAGAGGTACCCAAATCACTAGTCATTTCTGAAAATCTTGGCCCACAGTGGGCAACCAAAAGTCAAATTCTGCCATCACCGACATGGGCAGAGGATAAAAGTTGGCTCTTTAGCTTTAGCAAGTGCTTACCTTCCCACTGGCCAGTCAGCACAAGGGTTCTGTTAATTACAATGTCGATCTCTCTGGCACCATCTTCCACTGCTATCCTAATCTCTTCTAATCGGTTTTTCAGTGAAGTCTGTGCAGCTGGAAACCCAGTTGCCACTATGAAGAATGGGAAAAATAAAGTTGTGAAGTAAGCAAAGACTTTTATATAAATATTTGTTATTAAGGCAGATTGGGGGCATAAAAAGTTAAGGTTTTTTTTCTTTTTTTCCCCTGAAAGGGAAGTTACTCTAGAGCGCCAGTAAAAGACTCAAAGGCACCTAGAAGGCACCTAATTCATCCCCCACCTCATTTACAAGAACATTAATTCTTCCCTTGAGTTCCTTAATCAGTGCTTTGCTCAGTTTTAAATGTCTCCTGCAAATTGATTTCCCCCACTTTCCTTACAGCTATTTCCAGTTCAGCCTGGCTAATACATATAAGTCCATTGCCTTCAATAGAATTCTGCCTGCATACACAAGCTCTGAATTTGTCCTAATGTGTGAAATCATCTTCGATGTGTATGTTCTTCAGTCCTCCCAAATTCTTGTAAAAGGTATTTGAAAATAAGTGCAACTAATATGGGCAAGTAATAGTCACGATATAGGTAAAGTTGAATGCAATCATACCCTATTCAACAGTCATTTGAATTTTTGTACTTAAACAATATAAAGATAACTTGGAAAGGAAAAAAATTATCCTTGTTCCACTCCCTCCCCCCTCTCCCCTTCTGATGCATAAAGAGAATCTGGAAAAGTTCTCTTTCCCCCTTGCAAACACAAACATGTTTTTGTGGTGTTTTTTCAATCCTAAATTCCACATTGTCTCTCTTCTGTGGTGCCTGAAGAACTAGTGAAATGATGACATCACAAAGAGTCGAGACGAAGGTATTTTTACAGGGATGGACTCTTGCACCTGCACAGAGCCTTGCTGACTTCAATGGGGTGGAAGGATCCACCTGCATGCAACCTAAAAGCTGAGCTATTAAGCAAGGAAGGGTTTTGATTTGTTGATGTTAACAGCTATTCAGCTTTAATGACTAATTCCCCTTGGGAGAAAAAATGTCTGTGTAAAGATTCATTATCCCTACCCCTTCAGTTCAGGTATGAGATCAACATACATACCTCGAAGACCCCCCCAGGAGATCCTCCTCCAGCAAAACTTAGACTTGACAACTAAAAACTTGACATTCCAGATACTTTTTAGTGAAAAACAAGGAGGATCCTCCTCCCCCACCCCCCCGGCAAAAAAACAACCAACCAAAAAACAACCACCACCTTTTCAGGTATTCTTCACCCATTCCATAAAAGCAAAAAGGGCACAAGCCCACCGGGAAAATAATCTTTTAAATAATACTTGTAAAGAAGAGAAACTTACCTGAAGCTACTGGTATGTTACAACCAGCAGCCTTGAGTGCTTTAACAGCATCAGCTACTCTAGCTGGATACACGCAGACAGCTGCTGTAGTAATACCTGCAAAAAGTTACAATCCACTGTTTCACCTGTATATTTCTATGTAATGTCTTCTAGTCCACACTATGGCCTTGTGTGCACTAGATTTTTTTTTTTTTAAATCTCCTACTCTTGCACAACCACCAACTGCTCTCCGCTGGCTGTAGCAAGCATGAGAGTTTTACTGGCAGCAGGGCTCAGGTGGCCACTGATAGAGCTGCCACCATGTCCGTTAGCCCTGCCCTGAGAACACTAAGGCTGCATCAATAGTAGCTCAATCGCAGACACAGTTTAAGGCTGGAGTTCTTTATACGCCAGTTTCAGACCAGTTTGCTCTGGGATTTATGATGTAAGAAACTATGCTATCAGAGTATTGTACCTAGGGGCCTATAGCGCAGTTTGACTAGCATGGAATACCGTTTGTGTTAGCACAGTTTCACTGTGTTTCTATTTCAAATTTTATTCTCACAGTCTAAGGAACTTGGACTGATATTTAATAGTTTTTTTTTTAAATGTATAAAGGATTAGAAAGAATTCATAAATCAGAGTTTAAAAAGGGATTGGGTCTTTCTTATTTAATGACTATGGCTAACAATCCAGGGCCTGATTCACCACTATGTTACTCTAGTTTTACACCACACACCTCTGTTGAAAACAATGAGGTTATGTCTGTGTAAAACTTACTATTGCAATTCGTCAATCAGGCTCCAAGTGTTTATACAATATTGGTGGGTTTGATTTTTGTTTGAATGTTGTAGTTCAAACAAAGCACCAAAATCATGTGGCATTTTAAAACAGTCTCCTGCATCTGACACATCAGTGATATTAATACTTATGAGAAGTTACGTTGTGCAGTGCTGAATATTGTATGAAAATATGCCATTTTACGGCTATCATTTAATAGAAACTCTGTAGGGCCACATCAATGCCTTAACAATTCCATTCCAATCAGTATTGGGTGTAACATTTAGACTTATATTGAGGGCCCAGTTCTGCAAGATACTTTGGAAATGCCTATGCCACAGCAGGGAGGTGCGATTCCCAGTGCAGGTAGACAGACTTGTGCTAGCTCTGCTCAACCTAGTGTGCTAAAAAGAGTAGCATGGAAGTTGCTGCAAGGGTGGTGGCTCAGCTAGCTGCCTAAGCTTGGGCCCAAGGAGTCAGGTGGACTTGGACTTGGGCAGCTAGCCTGAGCCACTGCCCGGGCAGTAATGTCCACACTACTATTTTTAACGCACTATCTCTACTCGAGCTAGAGCAAGTCTGTCTACCCACACTGGGAATCATGTCTCCCAGCTGCAGTGTAGACACACCCTTACGGTCAAATCCTGACCCCAATGAAGTCCCTATTAGTAAACAGAACTAGTTGCTATTTTGATCCCTTTCTTAGTTACTGACATAACTGGGTGGCAAAGACAATTCTGAGTAGAGATTAAAAAGCCAAATTTTTCAACACACAGCACGTGTCTGTATCTAATTGTCTGCACAAAGGCAAAGAGCCAGATCCTGGAGCTACACAGAAAAACCTCAGCCAGGATTATGACCCAAAATATTTACAGATACTTAAAAAAAGCCCAAAGATTTATTGGGGGTATCATGTGCATTTAATGCAAATAGAGTTAGTGGCACCTTACCATCCAGTTATTAAAAGAGAGGTGGGGTTTTTTTTTTAAATATATTTCATAGTTTTATTCTCTTAATGGTTTCCATGTCAAATACTGTAGTGTATTCTATAAGTGCCCTGTGACGTTACAGCCTGTATGATTTTATAAAAATAAGCTAATGAGTGAATATAATGTAACTGGAATATGCTTCATGCAAAAGGTCTCTTGTAAGGTATCATTACAAAGCTTATTGTCTACTGAGTGTGGTCATCCTATTTGTATAAAGGTATCACTCTTGTATCTGAAACTAGAAATATGAAATATAACTCTGAGGGCCTATTGTAATTATGCAAAGTGTGGGCCATTAATAGTGGTTTGGAATCTTAATGGCTTCCATCAACCAGGACAATTGACTGGATGGCTCTGTTTGCAGGCAAGCCTTCCTGTGAGTCAGACTGGGGGGAATGAAGGCTTGGGGTCTTACAGTGACATGTGATCATGTCACATGAACTGGAATCCATCTTTAACCTGGTGCTTTTCCAGGGGGTGGAAACCCAGAGAGAGACAAAGGATTCCCGCCTTATGCAAAAGATATATAAAGGGGTGGAACAGAACAAAGGAAAAAGGAGCCATCATGAAGAATCCCCTAGCTACCACCTGAGCTGGAACAAGAGCTGTACCAGGGGAAAGAATTGTGCCCAGGCCTGGAAGGTGTCCAGCCTGAGGAAAAAAAACTTACTGAAGCATCTCTGAGGGTGAGATGATCTGTATTCAGTTTGATTAGACATAGATTTGCGCATTTTATTTTGCTTGGTGACTTACTTTGTTCTGTCTGTCACTACTTGGAACCACTTAAATTCTACCTTCTGTATTTAATAAAATCACTTTTTACTTATTAATTAACCCAGAGTATGTATTAATACCTGGGGGAGCAAACAACCGTGCATCTCTCTCTATCAGTGTTCTAGAGGGCGAACAATTTATAAGTTTACCCTGCATAAGCTTTATACAGGGTAAAACGAATTTATTTGGGTTTACACCCCACTGGGAGTTGGGCATCTGAGTGCTAAAGACAAGCACACTTCTGTTAGCCTCTTTCAGGTAAACCTGCAGCTTTGGGGCACATAATTCAGACCCTGGGTCTTTGTTGGAGCAGACGGGAGTGTCTGGCTCAGCAAGACAGGGTGCTGGGGTCCCGAGCTGGCAGGGAAAGCAGGGCTAGAAGTAGTCTTGGCACATTGGGTGGCAGCTCCCAAGGGGGTTTCTGTGATCCAACCCGTCACATGCCCCTATTGCAATCTCGATCTGGGATCTGTAAATTAAGGTGAGGCTTTTTCCTGCACATCTTACATCATAACTAGGGATAAAGATTTTGCAATCACAACTTATATTACCATTTCTTTGAATGAGACTGCCTAGGATCCAGTTCAGTCTTCCAGGGCTGTTTAGCTGTGCAATACTAGCTCTAACATCAGTAATGTTCAGGCAGTAGAAGTTGAAAAAGAAGACGTCAAGTTTATGTTCTGTCCATAACCAGTTTTATAAAGCCAAAGCTTGCAAGTAATGTAACCAAAACCATCATACCTTTATCATGCATATTCATAGCTCTCAAAAGATCCTCTCTGATTGGATGTTTGGCTTTGTAACAAAGCCTGTGAATGTTTGAAGGGGTGTCATCACCTGAGAGGGTGGTGAGGTCTATGCAGGTGACAGCTCTCAGTAGCCAAGCAGCCTTTATTAGGGAAAAAAGTAATACACAAAAAAATGGATTAAATTTTTAAATGTGGCCCAACCCAGATGATTTAGGAGACTAAAACCATCTCAAAAGTGAGTCACTTAGGCACCTAAGTTTCACTGACAATCAATGGTGCTTTTGAAAATGTTACCCAATGTCTAAAAATCAGCTATTATATAGTCAAAGGACCAAGTTCCGATTTATGGCACATGGATCAAAGGCTGAATAATGAGCAGGAATCCTGGCATATTATTCCACCAGGATCCTAAAACAATGATGCTTGTATCTGGGCAACCCACTGGAGGAAGGATGCAACCTTTCCCAAGCAGAGTTGTCCACGTTCCTGTAACATGCTAAGTCTGCCTCATGCAGAGCTAGTCTGCATAGAAAGCATACACTCTTCAGCAGGCGCATGAATTGTAAGTGCAAGTCACCTGAACGCACACAAGTCAGGAATATGCATGCTGCCATTACATTTTACAACCCTAATCTGTGCATATGCATCAGGGTCAGGGCCGGCTCCAGGCATCAGCTTCTCAAGCAGGTGCTTGGGGCGGCGGCTCCGGAGAGGGGCGGCACTTCCAGGTATTCGGCGGCAATTTGGCGGACGGTCCCTCACTCCGCCTGGGAGCGAAGGACCTCCCGCCAAATTGCCGCCGCAGATCGCGATTGCAGCTTTTTGTTTGTTTGTTTGTTTGTTTGTTTTGTTTTGGCTGCTTGGGGCGGCCAAAACCCTGGAGCCGGCCCTGATCAGGGTGAAATCCTGGTTCCACTGAAATAAATGGACATTTTGCCAGTTACTTCAATGGAGCCAGGATTTCACTCTAGGTGTCTTACATATGTTTTAATATTTGGGTCCAAAACTCTAGGTGTCTCAGTTTAACTGTCTGTAAAATGGGAACAATAATATTTACCCATCTTCCTGCAAAAAGAGTTGAGAGAACTGACTAACATTGCTAAAGCATTTCAGTATCCTTGGACGAAAGATGCTACAGAACTTCAAAAATTATTTTTAACTGTGATTGGTTTTGGTTTTTTTTTTTTTACACTTCAGAAAGTTAGCTTTTTACATCAACTAGGTTTTTTTATAACCTGGTTTAAATTAAAACAAAAATTGTTTTCCAAAAAGAAGGGAATATTTAATCAGCTGCTAAGAAAGGGATTCTAGTCTCATCCCTTAGGAAATGAGTTGTGAAGACAGATGTAGTAAACTGCTTCCAAGAAATGGTGTGAACTTTATTTGTTTTAAAATAGGATTTTGGCTTTATATATATATATATATATTTATATCATACACACACACACACACACACACACACACACACACACTTGGATATGGACTTGAGCCACAAAGTTTGGATGTGGAATATTATCTACATCTGAACTTTCCCCAAAGTTCAGGGTTTTAAAAGTTAAGGATCACATTCAGGCCCATCTCTGTTAGGCAGCACATGGATATTCTGCTACATCTGCACTTGGGTAGATGAAAAAAGATGTTTATGAAAACAACCCTTTGGTGTTCTTTAAAGAAAAACTGAATTATTTAGCTCAACGGTCATGTTACTACATAAATACAGAGCTGAAAGGTACCAGGGGCAACAATGCCTCTGTCCTGCAGACACATTAAGGGGGACATCAACACCAGAGTAAATCACCACCCCAGGTGATTATATCTATGCAATCCAAGGAGCTGATTCTTCACTTCATTGCACCTTATGTGAATATGTGGTAATTTACAGCAAATCATAATGCTCCTCATAGATTTTAAGGCCAGAAGGGACCATCCTGATCATCTAGTCTGACCTCCTGCACATTGCAGACCACAGAACCTCACCCAGCCACTCCTATAATAGACCCATAACCTCTGTCTGAGTTACTGAAGTCCTCAAATCATGATTGAAAGACTTCACGTTATGGAGAATCCATTTACACTAGTTTAAACCCTGCAAGTGACCCGTACACCATGCTGCAGAAGAAGACAAAAAATCCCATGGTCCCTGCCAAACTGACCCAAGGGGAAATTCCTTCCCGACCCCAAATATGGTGATCAGTTAGATCCTGAGCATGTGGGCAAGACCCACTAGCCAGACACCTGGGAAAGAATTCTCTGTAGTAACTCAGAACCCTCCCCATCTAGTGTCCCACCGCCAGCCGTTGGAGATATTTGCTGCTGGCAGCCGCAGATCAGCTACATGCTATTGTAGGCAATCTCCTCGTACTATCCCCTCCATAAACTTATCAAGCTCAGTCTTGAAGTTAGTTAGGTATTTTTTTGTCTCCACTGCTCCCCTTTGGACGCTGTTCCAGAACTTCACTCCTCTGATGGTTCGAAACCTACTCTAATTTCAAGCCTAAACTTGCTGATGGCCAACTTATATCCATTTATTCTTCTGACAACTTTGGTGCTTAACTTAAATAACTCCTCTCCCTCCCTGGTATTTTGCTCTGTATAAACACATGAGAAGGATATCATATTTCCCCTCAGCCTTCTTTTGGTTAGGCTAAACAAGTCAAGATTTTTGAGTGTCCTCTCATAAGGTAGGTTTTCCATTCCTCAGATCATCCTAGTAGCCCTTTTTTGCACTTGTTCCAGTCTGAATTAATCTTTCTTAAAGATGGGAGGCCAGAATTGCACAGAGTATTCCAGATGAGGCCTCACCAATGCTTTGTATAATGTTACTAACACTTCTCTATCTATACTGGAAATACTTCGCCTGATGCATACTAAGACTGCATTAGCTTTTTTTCATGGCTGCATCACATTGGCGGCTCATAGTCATCCTGTGGTCAACTAATACACCCAGGTCTTTCTCCTCCTCAGTCTCTTCCAACTGACAAGTCCCCAGCTCATAGCAAAAATTCTTGTTAGTCAATCCCTAAGCGCATAACCTTCCATGTTGCACTATTAAAATTTCATCCCATTTCTATTGTGACATTGCACCCCATATTCTTCATAGTTGTATGATTATGATATAATTATGATGCATTTTGGACAAGATGGGTCATGTAAGGTATCATTGGAAAAGTTATGATTTGCTGAATATGATTATCTTATTTGTATGCATGTATCATTTTTGTATCTGAAGTTATGAATATTGGCTATGTACCTGTATTTCACGGGTAGTCACACCTAGGTGACACACCCACTAGGCAAAATGCTTCCAAGTCTAGATAGCCAAGTGTGAAGGGCCTATTCAAGGTAATGGGCCATTAGGAAAAACAATAGGCCTTAGGAGATGCTTATCCCCCACCTGGTGAGCCTTCCTGAGAATGCTGCAGACAGCTTGTAAGTCATGGCTGCTATGACTCAGCAAGGGCATGTGGCCAGGCCACATGACACGGAACTCCATCTTGGATACCAGTGTTTTACCACAAACTGAGTTTGGTACAAAGGGTTCCCGCCCTATGCTAAAGCTATACAAGTCAGGGAGTGACATCATCTGTTGTTCTTAACTCCCCCACAACTGAACACCTAAGAGACGCTCCTAAGGAAAAGGACTTGGAACAGGGGTGGGGATCCCAAGCTGCAAAGCAAATGCAGCTTGTCTCTTAAGAATCTGAAAGCTTGTTATCATCAGCCAGGGTGAGAAACTGCTAATTCATATCCAGTCTATCTAGTATGTTAAGGGTAGTTTGCGGTTTTGTTTATTTGCTAGGTAATCTGCTTTGATCTGTTTGCTATCCCTTATAATCACTTAAAATCTATCTTTTTGTAGTTAAACTTATTTTATGTTTTAATCTAAACCAGCAAATTTGGCGTGAAGTGCTTGGGAATCTTAGCTCAAGGGGCAGGGGCTGTTGCATTGCCTCTCCACATTGAGGGAGAGGCAAACTCTATGAGCTTATGCTGTACAGTTCCCTGTGCAGTGCAAGATGGCATAATTTTGTGTTTATACTCCAGTGCGGGTATGTGTGCCTGGGGAGCTGGAGGTTATCTTGACTGTAGCCTCTCTATTGTTGGTTCATGCAGTGGCTGGTCAGAGAGCCTGCATGTAACTGCAGCTGGATATGTCCCTGCCTGTGTGAATGCTGGTGGAAGTGTACGACCGGGAGCAGGTCTGCAGCTTGTCACAGCAGCACAGCGTGAAAGGGAGCCCAGACTGGTGAGTCAGAGGGCTCAGTGGTACCCCAGTTCCAGGTGGCACCCTGGGGGGAACCTGTCACATCTGTTACTCCAGTTTTCAAAGACATCCAGATCTTCTTATATGATATTCCAGTCCTCCTCCAGATTGGCAATACTGTACCTCCCAACTTTGTGTCATCTGCAAATTTTATTAGCACACTCCCCCTTTTTGTGCCAAGGTCATTAGTAAAAATGTTAAATAAAATTGGTCCCAATACTGATCCCTAAGGAACTCCACTAATAACCTTCCTCCAGCCTGACAGATCACCATTCAATATGACTTGTTGCAGTCTCCCCTTTAACCAGTTCCTTATCCATCTTTCAATTCTCATATTAATCCCCATCTTCTCCAATTTAACTAATAATTTCCCACGTGAAATTGTATCAAATGCCTTACTGAAATCCAGGTAAATTGTCTAAAAAAATCAGTTATCTTCTCAAAGGAGAGCAGGTAGGTCTGGCATGATCTACTGTGTGTAAAACCATGTTGTATTTTATCCCAATTACCATTTAACTTTAAGTCCTTAACTACTTCATCTTTCAAAATTTGTTCCAAGACCTTGCATACAATTGAGGTGAAACTAACAGGCCTGTAGTTTCCCGGATCACTTTTTTCCCCATTAAAAATAGCAATTCTCCAGTCAACTGAGTCAACCCCTGAGTTTACAGATTCATTAAACATCCTTGCTATTGGGCTGCTATTGGGCTTGTAATTTCATGTGCCAATTCCTTTAATATTCGTGAATGAAGATTATCAGATTTAGTTCCATTAAGCTGTTTGAGTTTGACTTCCACCTCAGTTGTGGTAATTTCTACTTCCATATCCTCATTCCCATTAGCCAACCTGCCACTACCCCTAAGCTCTTCATTAGCC